CAGCCAGCATTTCAGGCAACAGCGCCGCCCAGAGGGAACAGCCAGCATTTCAGGCAATAGCGCCCCCCAGAGGGAACAGCCAGCATTTCAAGCAACAGCACCGCCCATAGGGAACAGCCAGCATTTCAGGCAACAGCGCCCCCCCCAGGGAACAGCCAGAATTTCAGGCAACAGCGCCCCCCAGAGGGAACAACCAGCATTGCAGCGTTACAGACTCTAAGACACTGGGCTACTATATATATGATGGCACAAATCTGATCATTGAAACATGTTAGTTTGCAACCCAGCACTAGGGATGTCAACATGTAGACGACTGCATGATTAAGTAATAATCCTGTCAACTAAACACATCCCCACTTCCCCCACTCCTTGTTACCTCTGTATCAGAGGCAGCAAGCAGTGGAGGGCGTGAGCCCGAGACCAGCAGATAGCCTTCCCCAACCTATGGTGCTCCCTCTGATAGAGAGGCAGCAGCTTGGGTTGTTCAGACGACAGGTGGGACCAAATACACATGGGGAGCCAGCTTTTAACCTCGCTCTGCATGCATACCGGCTCCATGGACCCGTCTGCCCTTACCCCTTGCTGCCTTTACATAGACAGTGGAGAGGGTGGGGAGGCAGAAGCTGGCGATGTGGGGAGCCAGCCCTGGCTCCATGTTGCTACCTCCCCCTACCACACTGCTACCTCTATTAGAGCATGGGATGCTGGCACACATCCGGTTCATGGGGAGCTTGGGGAAGCTGCTGGCCCTGCCACTGTGGTCTCTATAATAGTTGTGTAACCTATAATATTTTGTGCAGTTACACGACTATTCAATTAATCACGGTCTGACAATCCTTGTCTTAATTAACTCCTCTGTCATGCTTAGCCCTGATTCACCATCACGTAAACACAGAACAGTCCAATCCAGCTCGTGTCTCTTTGCACATGTTACTTTAGTCTGCTGGGAAACAGAAATCTGAACGTACAGAACATTCCAGAAGCCAGAACGAGACTATAGGCCTGGCACATTTGGGATGAGGAGCAACTGTAGCTGTTACTTTTAAATGAGACATTTAGTATTTTGTCATTTTAAAAAATAATTTATGTTTATCTACCCTGGGGGATGGGATACCGCAAACAAACCAACTGACCCTTCGGCTGCCCTGACTCATTTCTCATTCTAGGTCAGCCAGGAGAGGAGCCAAAGCCATGGACTCTTGCCTACGAGAACAGACCCTGCCATGGCTGTGAGAGGCTGTTTTGTGCAGCTGCCTACTTCATGAAAGTCCAGCAGCCAGCGCTGCTTCTCTGAGAAAAGAGATGAGGGAGAGAGAGGAAACGGGCCCCTCTGCGCGGCCTCTTAATGCCTCAGGAGATTTGAAGAGTGAAGGAAAACCAGGTAACTGGAGCTTCCCTGCCTAGGGACTGGCAAAGGAGAGATGTCGAGATTCTGACTTATAGTGGTGGGTGTAACTGCCTTCTTCCTCCCGTTCCCTGGTGCAGCAGGGGCCGTATTTCTTCTATGGACTCAGCTTGTTATGTGCAGCTTCTCTCTAGCGTGGCTGCTGTAGCACATGCAGCTCCAGTGGTGCACAAGTAAGAACATAAGAACGGCCATACTGGTTCAGACCAAAGGTCTATGTAGCCCAGTATCCTGTCTGCTGATAGTGGCGAATACCAGATACCACAGAGGGAGGAAACACAATAGTATGGTATTCATCATGGTAATCATCATGTGATCCCTCTCCTCTTCTCCATTTCCAGACAAACAGGCTAGGGACACCATTCCTGCCCATCCTGGCTAATAGCCATTGATAGACCTAACCTCCATGAATCTATTTAGCTCTTTTTTGAATCCTGTTAAAGTCTTAATCTTCACAACATCCTCTGGCAAGGAGTTCCACAGGTTGACTGTGTGCTGAATGAAGAGCCACTTCATTTTGTTTGTTTTAAATGTGCTACCTGTTAGTTTCGTTTGGTGACTCCTAGTTCCTGTATCATGGGAACAAGTAAATAACTTTTCCTTATTCATTTTTTCCACACCAGTCATGATTGTATGGACCTCCCCTCTTTTCTAAGCTGAAAAGTCCAAGACTTTTTAATCTCTCTTCATATGGGACCCATTCCAAACCCCTCATCATTTTTGTTGCCCGTTTCTGAACCTTTTCCGAAGCCAGTATATCTTTTTTTTAGATGAAGTGACCACCTCTGTTTGGAATATTCAATATATTATGTAACTGAATATATAGAGAGAGTTTCTGAACCTTTTCAAAAGCCAGTATATCTTTTTTTGAGATGAAGTGACCACATCTGTTTGGAATATTCAAAATATTATGTAACTGAATATATAGAGAGAGGCAGTAAGACATTCTGTCTTATTCCCTATCCCTTTTAAAATTATTCCTAACATCCTGTTTGCTTTTTTGTCTGTCACTGCACACTGAATGGATGTTTTCAGAGAACAATCCACAATGACTCCAAGATATCTCTCTTGAGTAGTTGTAGCCAGTGTCACGGAAAAACTGCACGGTGTCCTGGGAATGCGTCTGCTTTTCTCCCCCCCCCCCCCCCCCCGTGCCTTTTAAGAAGCCCTGTATGCCCCTCGTTCTATGAGGAAGAAGGGCTCTTCAGAAAGACAAGGATTTTCCTAAATTTGGCCCACAAATTTTTGCACAATTTGCATACTTTATTCTGATAGATCAGCATTGTCTAGACATAGCCAGGGGGACAGTCCCATTGGGAGGGAACTGGCACCAGGGAGAGGCATAACTCCTTCTGAGAATACCTGCAACATGTGAATAGAATTATCACCCCCTCCCCCAAAGTGTAACCATAAAAAATGAGCATGCTTAAAATTAAGGGACAAATCTGGTAACAACTGTTACAGCAAGAGGAAACTGAGGAGAGGTCACCCAGAGCGCTACCACCGGCCACCAGGGGGTGAGCAGGGGCTGCCCAAACCTTCACTAGCAAACGCTCCCAGCTGCCTTTTCTGTTCCATGTGTTATTGCACAGACTGTTTGTGCTGCCCCAGCTCATTCCCCTGCCCTCCATGGCGAACTCTCCCTCGCCTGCCAGTCTCTTGTCAGAGTTTCCTATCTCCTTGATCCTTTTCCCTTCAGATCAGAGCCTGACGGCAGCCGTTCTGGTCTCACTGATGGGTTTTATTTTCCAGGTCTAGCTCCTTGATAGTCCTCCCTTCAGATCAGAGCCTGACGGCAACCGTTCTGGTCTCACTGATGGGTTTTATTTTCCAGGTGATCAGGCTAAACCTGCGCTATGGAAACGTCCAGCTGTCCTCGCAGCCGTAATCGTGGGTCTGGGGGTCGTCGTCGTTGCTTTAGCAGCAGCTCTGGGAGGTAAGTTCCCACCCCCTGAACATTCAGTCTCTGGGCGTGGAGCTTTCTGCCTTTGCTGCTCACAGCGCCCTGGTGTCTGCTCCTGGGCTCTCAGAGTCGCTCGAGGGTCTTTCATACGAAGCCCAGACTGGGCCAGACCCAAGGTCCATGTAGCCTGGTGGCTTGTCTGCCAACAGTGGCCAAGGCCAGGTGCATAAAGGGAGTGAACAGAAACAGGGATTCATCAGGTGATCCCTTCTCTGTCGCCTGTTCCCAGCTTCTGACCAACAGAGATGGGGACTCCATTCCTGTCCATCCTCCTAGGAGCCATCCTCCAGGAATGTCTCTGGCTTCCTTTTAGTTCCGTGTCCCCTCCTGCCCGATCACTGTCTGAGCTGAGGGCATCACAGACTCAAGCAGATTTCTCCTCACAGTTCTGTGAGGCGGCTCCCCTTTATGTGGTGGGCACAGGCACTGAGGCATCTTTCCAGAAAAGGCACCAAGACACCCACGTCCCAATTTCAGGCACCCTGTGATCCACCAAACCCCTGTATGGCCACTGCTGAGCCCTGGGGCGCCTGAGCCCCCCTGGGGATGACAGTTTTGCCATAGACATTCCCTCGGTGCTTCTGTGTCTGTCTCTGGGCTTGTGCTGCTGCTTGGCCTTGCCTGTGGTAGCCGTGGGGCAGGATCAGCCTCTGTGAAACAGGTGGGGGGACAATGAGACCTCCCCTCTTAACCCTGACTCAGTGGTTAGGGCCCTCACCTGGGCTGTGAGACACCCTGGTTCCAGTCCCCTCTGCATGAGGTGAGAGAGGGTCTGACCAGGGATCCCCCACCTCCCAGGGGAGGGCCCAGCCACTGAGCTCTGGGGGGAGGCAGGGGAAGAATCCTCAATATTGCCTGTGGAAGTTGTTCCACTTCAGTTATTTAATTCCACAATGACTTAATAGAACCCTCTGATCTAGTATCCCGAGTGGTAGGAGCCCCCCGCTCTCAGATCCCTGCTCACCAGGGATCGGGGACTGAGAAGGGTCTCCCACATCCAGCTGGGAGCCCTACCGAGGGGTTAAAGGTTATCTCAAAGATTGCCCTTTCTCCTCCCCTCCCCCCCAGCCATTTCCAGGGGAGTTAGGTGTCAACTTCTCCCAAGAGCTGACATGGGTGCCTGTGTCTAGGGCAGGATTGCTGCTGCAGGAGACTAGCAGGGCTGCTCCTCCCTGCAGCCAGGGCTTAAGTGCCGAGTTGCAAGAGGGACGAGGTGAAGGGCACATCCCTGGTCGCTGTCTCCTGTTGGCTGGCTTGGGCAGCCGCTGTCTAACCTTCTGGCTGTTGTGGGTCCCATTTGTAGGCACCTCTCTCTCCCCATTCATTGCATGGGCATCTGGGTGCCCAGGGCAGTCCTTGGGTATCCCATTGTCCTAATGATTTCCTAGACAAGTAAAATTTCAGCATTGCAAGGCTGGACATCACATGCCTCTGTCCCTGCCTGTATCCAGACCCAAGGGTCAGGCAGGGATTCGGACATGGCTTGGAATTTTATCTGGATTTCCTGGATCCCAGTCACACAGGGCAGTGAACACAAGACAGTCGCTCTGTTTCAGATCCCAGCCCCTTCTGTTGCTACTTTCTGTACTTGGGGATTCTCTCTACACATGTGTGGACTGGCATGGAATGATGTGTCCCCTTCCCAGCAGCATGTGCACATGACCACTCTTGAGGTTTTCCTTTGCTACCTCATCAGAAATTCCTTTTCTGTGGGGAAGCAAAGATTTCTGAAGGCCTGCAGTGATGCAGAATTCCCCCAGGAGTTTCCTTTAATCATAGAATCATAGAATAATAGGACTGGAAGGGACCTCGAGAGGCCATCGAGTCCAGCCCCCCGCCCTCAAGGCAGGACCAAGCTCCACCTACACCATCCCTGACAGATGTCTATCTAACCTGTTCTTAAATATCTCCAGAGAGGGAGATTCCACCACCTCCCTTGGCAATTTATTCCAATATTTGACCACCCTGACAGTTAGGAATTTTTTCCTAATGTCCAATCTAAACCTCCCCTGCTGCACTTTAAGCCCATTACTCCTTGTCCTGTCCTCAGAAACCAAGAGGAACAAATTTTCACCTTCCGAGGCTAGGGGCACCAACCCTGCCCATCCTGGCTAAGAGACATTGATGGACCTAACCTCCGTGAAATTAGCTAGTTCCTTTTTGAATCCTGTTATATTGGCTTTTGCCAATCTATATAACTCTGGCAAGGAGTTCCACAGGTTGACTGTGCACTGCATGAAGAAATATTTTCTTTGGTTTGTTTTAAACCTGCTAACTATTAATTTTATTAAATGACCCCTAGTTCTTTTGTTATGAGAACAAGTAAATAGTATTTCCTTAATCACTTTCTCCATACTTGTCATGACTTTATGCCTTTGATAAGGGAATGTGAGGGAGTGAAAAGAGGAGGGCCTGGCATCGCAGGGATGAAACAGGACCTTTTGGCTTAGCTAGTCCCACCCCACTTCATCTGTAGCCAATGCCAGGTCAGGAGGGAGGATAATGAAGGAACCTGGCTCGTTTAGGGGCTGACCAGCAAGGAAACGGGAGTTTGGTTCCGCAGACTGCAGGACACAAACCCAAGCCTGTTCACTTGGCCAGCCACAGGCGAAAGTCAGCCTCCAACCTCACCCCATGGGACAAAGGGGAGACCCTGCTAGAACCTTAACTAAGGGAGGAACCTGGACTCTTGGGGCCAGGTCCTGAGCTTAAGAACTATCCTAGTATAGTAGGCCAGAGTTCCTAGGCCTGGGGCACCAGCAGCAAAGTCCTGCAGCCTTTCTCTGCTGCCTAATCCACAGACCCATCCACTAGGCCACCCCACCCCCAGGGAGACCCAGTCACAGGGATCTTGTCAAAGGCTTTCTGGAAGTGTAAGCACACTGCATTCACTGTACCCTCCTTCCCCGCACGCTTGTTGGCCCCTTCAAGGAATTCTAGTAGATTTCAGACTCACATGGTCTTTGGGAACAAGACCAGCAGCAGCAAGTGCAGCAGGTCAAACCCCCTCTTTGGGGTCTGATCCCCTCTAGTGGCCATTTTGTGGAATTGACTGAATTATGGCTGCATTGAATATGTAACTAGCAGCCTTGGGAACTCGCTGGCACAGGAGATTCCTGAGTCCTAGAGCTCAGCAGGATTCATAATGGGACTGGACCTTGATGTGAATCATGAGACCATTCAGAGGAGACACTGTGTCCTCTATAAAGGGGGATGAATCAGCCGTGTTCTCCTGCCCCTCCGGGTAGGTCACTCTCTCTGGATCAGGGTACGAATGGAAGGAATAGAAACCTTCCCACTTTGGGGGGGGATATTCCCTGGGGCAGGTATTGCCACCACTGCCCACTAGGGGGTGTCTTGCCTCCCTCTGAAATTGCTGGTGGCGGCTCGCAGAGAGCAGCTGTGTGGCCCATCAGTCTGTTCCAGTCTGGCCATTCCTGCGCTTCTGTTCCTGCTCGTTCCCCATGGAGACACGAGGGAAGCATCAGTCTCCTATCTGGGTGTTTTCTGCCTTGTCCATCTCCTCTCTGTCTCTCACTTTCTCTCTTTTTATTTTTTAAGTGGAAAAATCTAGGCAGCCGCCTCCCTGCCCCGCTGCTGCCCCTGGGTGCCCCGACGGCTGGTTCAGGAGCGAAGGGAGATGTTACTATTTTTCTAAGGCTGAAAGGGACTGGACCGAAAGCCAGAACAACTGCACCTCACACGCTGCCTCCCTGACTGGGATTGAGAATCTGCAGGAGCTGGTGAGCAGCACGGACGCTTTGTGCCGAGCCCAGCGATCGCCGGCAGCACAGGCCGGGCTGGTGTCAGGCTGGGCCCAGCCACTGTAGGGAAGAGCCTATGGCCCCAGCCTCCCCAACCTTGCACCTGCTCAGAGCCTTGGTGGGAGACTCCCCCTGAACAGGTCTGGGCCCTCTCAGTCAGTTCCAGTCGCTGCCTGGGGCATGCAGGCGTAAGAACCTCCCTCCTCAGCTGAGCCCCAGTCTCCAGGTTCTCTATGGATGGAGAAGGAGGATCCAGCTGAAAATGGGACCTGCTCTGTGCCCCCTTCCCACCTGCCACAGTTCCTCTCCCCTGGCCCTCCTGTGCCCTGAGATGGGCCCTGCTGGTCAATCTTGTTGCTCAATCCCTGCTTTATCCAGTAGATGCTACAGCCCCAGGGAGAGTGAAGGGTTAACACGGATCTGATCTCTTCACTCAATTAGAAAGGTTGATGTCTCTAGAAATCCCTGGCTGCCCTGGACTCCCTGGGGGGTGGGGGAAGCACAGAGCCAGGGTCTAACTCAGCTGACAACTTTGCTTGTATTTGAAAGGCTTCCCTGCTGCCTTACCCAGGCAGACTGGACCACTGGATTGGCCTCCAGAAGGACGCAGGCGGGGTCTGGAGATGGGTCAATGGCACCAAGTTCGACCGTCGGTGAGTCTGTTTCTTTTTCTGCATTGGGTCCGAGTTGATGGAAATGCCTCACTGGCTGCTTCCCCCCCTGCCAGGAGTGGGGTCTGGGCTGGCACAGGGAGCGGGGATCCTGAGCGGCTATGAGTGCAGCAGCTCCCATCCCTCATCTGGGTGTCTGTCCTGGTCTCTGCCTGGCACATGCTGAATCTAACTCCTACTGCCTCTGGCTTGCAGGTTTGAAATACAAGGAGGAGCCGACTGCGCCTACCTAAATGAAGACCTCACAATCAGCAGCTCCAGCTGCAGTAGGCTGAGGAAATGGCTCTGCAGCAAACCTGATGCTTCTACATAGCTAGAGGTGCATGTTTTAGGAAGGGACTTGTGAACTGAGTGGAATTGGAGACCAGATATGACACAGCCTGGATCTGGTCCCCCTTCATGTCCTCTTCGTGCTGCAGCCTTGTTCTGTGTTTATTACTCTGCCTCCAGAATTTTGCCTGGTCCTAGCTTTGAATCTCCCTGATGCTGGGGTCTGAGAGCCTTCTCTAGGGCAGATGTCTCAGTTTCAGAGGAAGTGCCTCTGTATCCCACCTTTGTCAGGGCTTGGGTCTCTCGCTGCTCTATCACTTCGTGGCAGGGGGCCTCTTCCACTCCCAGCTGACCTGGCATTTAAGGCTTCACATCTCCCTTCTGTGCACCGTGTTGTCCCCACAAGCCAGCCCTTCTGCAAACCAGTGCCTGCATTTTGCTTCTGCTCTGAACTGAGGATAGGCCAGCACTTATAAGCTATCAGAGCCATTCCTCAGCTGATGCATTTTTCTAGGGTAAAAGCACAGAAGAGAAAATGTATAAAAATAAAATTTCCCATATGCCATAACGCTGGGTCGAGTGACGGGGTGGGCCCACTTGCTGATTCCCTGTTCTGTTCATTCCCTCTAGGGCAGGGGTCAGCAACCTTTTCAAACCAAAGAGCCAAACTCCACCAAAATTCAGAACAACTGGTCAACAAAGAGCCGTGTAAGAATGCCCTTTTGCAGACTGAAAATATACAACCTAATGTTATTGCTACTTGACAGAACACTAAATGAAACATTGTATTCACAGACTTTATGTAATAGCACTTTTGTTGCTGCTGCGCCGGGCAGGAGTTAGGGTTGGGGTGTGTGGGGAGCTCTGGGCAGCAGGTTGGGATGTGTGGGAGGTGCAGGAGGCAGGGCAGGGTGGGTGCTGGAGGTGGGGGAGCCCTGGGGCCAGATTACCTTACCTGGGTGAGGTTGAGCTGCACCTGGCAAGACGAGGGGCTGGACCAGGATTGCCACAGCCGAATCATGGCCTCATCTCCAACCCACGTTGTAAAAGACGGAC